TTGTAATAATGTAAAATATGTGAAAAATAATGTGTTTTTCGAACAACCTAGTATGAGAGCCTGTTCTAGTACACCCCCAAAACAAAATCAAGACTTTGTAAAAGAGCATAATAGGACCCCTTTAAAACTGTGGTGAGAACTAACCAGTGCTGAAACGGGGGGTTTCATGACCCTTTAAATGCTGTCCTTCCGCTAAAAAAATAGTTCCTGACAGCAACAGTAAATGACAAAAGAATGTTCCGAACATGCTTCATCTAATGGAGCTTAAATAAAAACAGAGAATAGGAGCTCTTATCATCCGCTGTCATTTATTTTTTTAACACCATATATGATATTTTCTTGCACGCATACATCTGCTTATCTCTCAGCATGAGAAAATGTCTCCGGTTACTATCGTAACCTCGGTTCCCTGAGAGCGGGAACGAGACATCACAGAGACATTTCTCCGTTATGGGAACTCCTTCCCTTCCAACCTTTCCTGAAGTCCTATTGGCTCACACCAGTCCAAATGACTGGCCAACTGTCGCGAAGTATGCAAATCGCATGCAAATACTGACACGCTCGAGAGGCAGTATAAAATGCGTTGCACGCGACAATTACGTCAGAATCTGATACTGAACGCCGCTTAGCTGATCGAGCAGCGAACACGGCGACCTCCATGATGTCTCGTTCCCGCTCTCAGGGAACCGAGATTACGATAGTAACCGGAGACGTTCCCTCTCGAGCTTTCACGAGACATCACGGAGACATCACGGAGACATTTCTCCATTATGGGAACGATATTCAATTCCGCCGTGAGAGAGGCTACAAGCAGCCTGTACAAGTCACATACTCAGGGAAGATAGAACACACAATTCCCACAACCAATAGCGATGCTTGTTAGGCGGGCTCGTAGCTGATAGGTGGAGACAAGCCAATGAGCGTCTAAAGCCCAGGTATACGAAATTTGCATATCTGGTCAGTGATCACGTATGCTGCGCTGAGAAACAGGGCAGAAGCAACAACAATCACAGTATTGTGAGGGGGGGCTGCACAGAGATAACGGTGTTAAGCAGCAGTATAACACATAAGATGATGATGGTACACCAATCGAATTAGACATTGAATAGCAGGAGCTGCACTGAGTACAGGGCAGACAACAGCAACAATAGCATATAGGGCTGCGCAGAGTAATTACTGTGCGAGG